AATTTTGAATAATAATAAACAAGAATGTTTAATGTTATGCATTTAAAATAGGTGAATTCTTTAAATTTTGAATCTGTAATCATTTAAAAATTGATGTTTATTCTTGAAAATATAAAATTTTTTAATTTACAAAATAATTAGAAATAAAATACCGCGTTACACGCGTATCATTTGTTAGTTTATTTGTAAATTATAAAAATATTGTTATAAATAATAATAATATAGTATAAAATTATTATAAATAGGTACTTGACTACATAAAAAATAATTAATAATTTTAATAATTAAATTTGTAAATAAAATATTTATTTAATTTATTAATTTACTTGCGTTTTTCAAATTTCCAATACGGAAGAGTTGCTAAACATTTTTTTTCACATAAATTAAATGAATTGTTTGTTAAAAACATTGTTTCGAACAATAATAAATATGTCTTTTACTGTTATATATATTAAGTAAAATTTTAAAGAATTTTCAACTATAGTTTAAACTATTTTTTCTGGTTAAAATAGATTAGGAATGATAAGAAAAATAAAGTGTATACCTGCAATAAATTTACATAGTTGGAATAAAAAAAAAGACAATAACGACCTCTAAAATAATGTATAAATAAGTAAAAAAAGGTTAAAGATTATTTTTATTATAAAATTAATTAAAATTTTTTTATTAAAATGTTAATTTAAATGTATGAAAAAAAAATGTCTTTACCTAAATCTAAATTACAAAAATTTCAATTAAGTAATAATAATAATATTCCTTATTATTATTATTACTTTTATTATAATAATTTCTATTATTATTATTTTGCAAAAAGTTAACAAGTGATTGGTGAAATTGTTGAAATTTGCTAAGAAAAAATAATTAATTAAAAATAAATTATTTTCTCAGCAGATGCGTTGAGACTTGAGAGTAATTTTAGAAAGATATTACCAAGGAAGGAGAGAATGAATTATGAGAGTCATAATTTAACACATAATATAAGTGTACCCTGTTGTAACAATGGTGTTACAGAAGACTTCATATGCAATTTTTACAAAATTCACTCTCTAACACCTTAAATACTCAATTACGCCAAAGCCAGATATCCAACTTATTATTAGAAGCAATATAACTGCATGCATATACAATTTACTACTTCAGTTATACTGGAAAACCATTTAAATATTCTAAAACAAAATAAAAAAACTCTTATTTTTATTCTAAATACGCAAGTTTATGTAAAATAGAAAGCACATGTATATTCAAATATTATAAAAAAATTTAAAGAAAGAAATCTTTTGAATTTTTCAAAAAGAGTTCTAAAAAAAATTTAAAGAGTTAAATTTAAATTTATATTTTCCTAAATTTTTGAACGTTTAAATGAACGAAATATTTTTCTGTTTAAATACTTTTCAAAATTTCTATATATGCAAAAAAGAAAAATAATTAAAATTAAACATTTACTTAGTTAAGATTGAAGTTTTTAATATAAAAATAATATTTTTTATAAAAAATACAAAATTATAAAAAAGAAAAAAAAATATCGTCAAACTTTAGGAATATAAATTTTTCAAGAAATAAAAAAAATTTGTCGTTTCTAATTTTTTAATTAATAAGTCAATTAGTGAAATTTAATGTTGTGAACGGTTTATTTTGTGTTTATTTATAAATTAACTGAATTAATAGACTAAAAAAAATATTGAAATAAACTTATTAAAAGAAGTGAATGTTGAATATTGTGAATTATAAAAAATATTTTCCGTTTCGATAATAGAAATTAATAATAATTATTTATATGAACAAAAGAAAAAAGTATAAATTGACATTGGAAAAAGAAGAAAATGGAAATTTATTACTCCAAGTGATAAACTGCAAAAAATAAAAAAAGCAAAAATGTCCTTTTGTGAAATATTGGTAAATGTAATTTCAATTTATTTCAACATTCCCTTCTTGAGGTTTCACACGCATTTACTCCTCTTCCGTTGGGGGGCATTCAATGTGCTATCATTAATGTATCAAAGATGCATTCTTTAGGTTTCTGAAACCCTTGTGTCTCTATATCTACAATAAGAAAGGTCAACTCTTTCTTTGAAAATTACCAAGACAAAAGTAAGAAAGAATAGAAAATTTTACAGCAAAAGAATTCGAAACATTATAATTTTTATATTCTTAGCAAAAAATAAAACAAAAAAAATAAACAAATAAAAATCCTAAAAACATGAAATAGATATATAATGAGTTAAAAATTTGTTTTGCTCTCAAATGAAATATTTATTAATTATTAATACAAACATAAACTTTATATTATTTTTTATTAATATTATTATTCATTAAACAATAAATTATTAAATAAATAAAATTTTCTACTATTTTATACATGAACAATAAATTTGTCATTTTTTTTATTATAACTAGCAAATGATACGCGCGAAATGCTGTATTCCATTTATTATTATTTTGTAAACTAAAACATGTTATATTTCCAAGAATTTTAATACAAATTCAATTATTTTAAACAATTTTGATAAAAAATTTTTTCGAAACAATTAAATATTATTTTTATAAATTATAAAATTCTTGGCAAGAATTCAATTATTTTTGTAAATAAGAAAGTTCTTCTGAAAAATTCAACTATTTTCAATACAATTTTAATAAAATTTCTCTAATAGGTTCAATTATTTTGAAAAATTGTGATAAAATTTATCTAAATAATTCAATTGTTCTCAAAAGTTTTGAATAAAACTCTTTGCAAATTTCAATTATTTTCAAAATTTTCAATTAAAATTATTTTTAAAAATTACAATATTTTTATGAAATTTAATGAAATTCTTCACAAAAAATGTATTTATTTACAAAAACTATGATATAATTGTTTAAAAGAATTAAATTTTCTATGAATAATTTTAATATAATTTAATAGGAAAATTGTTAATTACAATAAATAATAAACACGATTATTTTAAAAACTTGAAAGAAATTCTTCATAAAATTCAATTATTTTCCAAATTTTCAGTAAAAATTATTTTAAAAAAGTTCATTATTTTAAAGAATTTAAATAAAAATTTTGCCAAGAATTAAATTATTTTCGATACAATTTTAATTACAATTTCTCGAAAGAATTCAATGTTGATAACATTTTTGAGATGAATTCAATTATTTTCAAATTTTTTTTTATAAATACTTTACAAGAATTCAATGATTTTCAGTACATCGACAATGAAAAATTAAATTCTGAAAATAATTGAATTCTTGAATAAAACTTTATTAAAACTTTTTAAAATAATTGAATTCCTGCCAGAAAAATTTATTATTTCTGCAAATAATTTACTTTTTGTAAAATTTAAAAAAATAAGTGAATTTTTGAAATGAATTTTATGAAAATTGTAATTAATAATAATTGAATTCCTAGGGAAAATTTACTATTTATTGATATAATTGAAATTTTCGAAGAAATCATTTAAAAATGCAATTGAAAATAAGTGAAATTCTCATAAGAATTTTATTATTTATATAAAAATAATATAAATTGACTTTTTGCAAAGAATTTTATTACAATTATTGGAAACAATTAAATTCTTCATAAAATTTAATTATACTTTCAAAATTTTCAGTAAAAATTATTAAAAAAAACTCCAAAAACTAATTTCATTGTTATTATTATTCTTATTATTTATTATTATTACTATTATTATTATCCAGTAATTAATAATTGAATAAAAGTTGTATTTTAATTGAAATAATAATTTTGATTATAAAATTTTTTATTTAATATTCATTTTGAGAAAAACTATAATAAACAGACTGAAGAAAATACTTTATACTATAAAGTTGTTTTGATATCTCAGAGATATTAAATAACAGGACACTTGCGACAATAATTAGATAACAGTAAATAAAACTCAGTCACAGTTAAATTTCCATTTTCAAACGTTATGAATTTTATAATTTAAAGCGATGGGAACTAAGACACATTCAATCCCACGCGCCTTTATTATTATATTTCCCACAAAATAAACCGTTCAAATGTGCATGTATAGTGTATATATAAAATTTTTACATCGCTTCTTCAAAATCTCTATTCAAAACAAGTTTTATCCCTTAAATAATTATTTATAAAATTAATTTATTTTAACCCTTAAATAATTGTTTTCAAATAGTTCTTCTCTTTTAAAAATTAATTGAATTAATTAATTAAAAATTAATAAATAAAGAATAAGTATAGAAATAATAAGTAAACATTGATTAAATGAATAATAAATAAATATAAATGTATAAATATAATAAATAAATAAATAAATAAAAAAATAAAAAAATATATAAATAAATACCTAAATAATAAATATTACACTAAAGTTTTGAAAATTCAACTAAATGAAATTTTTTCTGCGTAAATATTTTCAAAATTTTCTGTAGTGAATCGTTTTGATTACTTTTGTAATCAAAATTCAATATTTACTTAATTAAGACTGAATAGATTTAATATAAAAAATTTTTTAAAATAAAATACAAATTAATAGTAATAAATATATTCATTTGTTTATTTGAATACTCGAAACTTCGCGGACGATAATAAAGAAACAAAAGAATAAATAATAATGAAACAAAAAGTAAATAAAATGAAGCTCCGAATGTTTTGAACGTTGAAATGAACGAAATTTTATTTATTTCTTCTTCAAATTAAAATTTAATTACAATAATTTTACGTCACGTATCAAAAAAATTAATTAAAAAGTTTCTAAATGTAAAATTTAGTTTTTTAATTTTTATTGCAACCGGTAATTTTTGAAAATATTTCGTTCATTTGAACGTTCAAAACTTGTGGATTAATATCTTTTGCAAAAAAGAGAATTAAAAAATACTTTTGAAATAGAATAAAAAAGCCTTTTTACTAGAAGAAAATTAGAAATCCTTTTCGAAAATAGAATTCAAGTTTTCGATAAAGTTTATCATTGATCTCATAACTTTGCAACCGGTTCATTGCTCATTAAAAAAGAACCACACGATGTGTATGGTGTACTCACCTCTGGTTTCATTTTGTTGCTAAAATCGTGTGTGTCTTACACTTTGCACAGTTTAACGAAAACTGACGATTCCTTATCGAATGTTGTATTTTTTTCTCTCTTTCTCTTGATAAAATTTCTTGTATTTTAAGCCAACAATATTTTTATCAGATCGTAAAAGAGCGCGCCGAATGACGCTCGTATTCACTTTAATTATACCATACTGTGTGCGTGTTACGTCACATAGAAATAATAATTTATAGACAGTCCAAATATTATTAATCCTCACAGAAAAAATGTTCTCCAAAATAATTTCTATACTTGTTGCGAATCGCTCTCTTTTTCCAACTTTTGTGACATTCACCGAGGAAATAATAATATATATATAAAACTCTTCAGGTAGGGAAGCGTGTCGACAGGAAGAGCTCTCTCACGATCGTCCCGCGATCACTGCCGAATACCGAGATCGTTCACCGCGACTTGAATTCAAAAAAAATGATGGAAAAATTAATTTTAATTCAGTTAAAACTTGAATGAAAAATGATAGTTTTCATTTTTAATTGAATTTGTAGTGTGATAGAAAATACCTGATGATTTTGCACTTTTTTTTTTGGTTTTCTGTTTCTGTTTAGACTATATTTACAAGAAAGCAACGATGTGTGGGATCCGTTTGAAGTTCGACCCCTCGAGTAGAATGAACTTGTAGTAGAGCCGCGCAACCAAACTGAAGCGACCATATGCTATCTCACTTCTATACACCTGGTGTATGTGTGTTTCTGTGTATTTGTACCTGGTTTGACCTTGTTCTCCGCGAGTTCGAGAGACCGTTCTCCAAACCAAGACGAAAAAAATAAAACAAATTCACCCAATAAACTTTTCATCATCCGTATGGTGTGCAGTATTTTTTTCTTTTTTTTTTGCCTGTTATTCTTCCTTTTATTGACTTTCCTCTCACCTGGAAGAAGTTATCAAATTTTATTTCACTTTTTACACAAAATTTTCATTCTTTATCATATTGTTAATGTCGTTTTACTATTTATTAATACGACTTAATCGTTCTAATAAAAACCTTGACAATTGTGATTATTGATTATGATTATCATAAATTAGTTCGATTACCATTCTCGTATTTACTAAATTTATTTACTCAACTAGCAAATGATACGCACGGAACTCGGTATTCCTTTTATTATTATTTTGTAAATTAAAAAATTTTATACTTTGCAAATTTTTAATAAAATTCCTTCAATTATTTTTAAAAATTCAGATAAAATTCTTCGAAACAATTCAATTATTTTCATATAAATAAGAAAATTCTTCGCAAGAATTAAAATATTTCCATAAATAAGAAAATTCTTCAAAGGAATTCAATTATTTTCATAAATAATAAAATGTTTCGGAGGAATTTTATTATTTTCAATAGAATACATAATTTTAATCAAATTTTTCGAAAGAATACAATTATTTTTAAAAATGGTATTATTTACATTCAATTATTTTCAAGAGTTTTTAATAAAAATTCAATTAATTTCAAAATTTTCAAGTAAAATTATTTTTAAACATTACATTATTTTTACGACATTAAATGAAATTCTTTAAAAAAATGTAATTATTTACAAAAAGTCTAATAAAATTGTTTAAAAGAATTTAATTTTCTATGAATAATTTTAATATAATTTAATAAGAAAATTGTTAATTACAATTAATAATAAACACGATTTTTTTTTAAATTTCAAAAAAATTCTTCATAAAATTCAATTTCTCTCAAAATTTTCAGTACAAACTATTTTTTAAAAATTCATTATTTTCAAGAATTTTGAAATAAATTCTTCAAAACAATTCAATTATTTTAAAGAATTTTTATAAAAATCTTATTCCAAGAATAATTAAAACTGCTTTTATATAATTGAATCACTGTGAAAAAATTTATTATTTCTGCAAATATGTAATTGAATTTTTGCAAAATTTAAAAAAATAATTGAATTTTTGAAAATTTTATGAAAATTGTATTTAAAATAATTGAATACCTGGGAAAAATGTTCTATTTATTGATATAATTGAATTCTTAAGAAGAATTTAAAAATAATGTAATTTTCCCTGGAATTCAATTAAAATTGTATTTAAAATAATTGAATTACGACAGCAAAAAATTTATTATTTATGAAAATAATTAAATTCTTGAATTGAATTTTATTAAAAGTTTTTTAAATAATTGAATTCCTGTGAAAAATTCAATTACCTTTTAAATTAGTTGAATTTTTCGGAGAATTTTTCAATATTTTTAAAAATAATTGAAATTTTCGAAGAAATCAATTAAAATTGTATTGAAAATAAGTGAAATCCTAATACGAATTTTATTATTTATAAAAAAATATAATAATTGAATTTTTTTACAAAGATTTTTATTATTTATAAATTGACTTTTTGCAAAGAATTTTATTACAATTATTGAAAATAATTGAATTCTTCATAAAATTTAATTACTTTCAAAATTTCCAGTAAAAATTATTAAAAAAAACTCCATTATTATCAAGAAAATTGAAATAAATTCTTTAAAACAATTCAATTATTTTAAAGAATTTTAATAAAAGCTTGATAAGGATTAAATTACAATTTTCAATACAATTTTAATTACATTTTCTATAAAGAATTCAATTATTGAAAAAAATGTTGATAAAATTCTTGAAGTGAATTAAATTATTTTCAAATTTTTTTATAAATACTTTGCAAGAATTTAATGATTTTCAGTACACTAATTTTAAAATTGAAAACATTTAAAAAGAAAAATTAAAAAAGTTAAGAAAATTAGATAAATTAGAGTATTTTGACTGAAAGTATAAAAATAATTATACATAAATTATTTTTAAAAAATGTAATTGTTACGTTTGTAAAAATTATCGTTTAAAAATTAAATTTGACATAATAAATATCTTATACTTTTGTTTTAATCCATTTTTTATACATAGCTATAATATCCCTAAAGTTCTGAACGTTCAAATGAACAAAATTTATTTATTTCTCCTCTAAGTTAAAATTTTATTGCAATAACACTGCGTCACATATAGGTATAATTTTTAAAAATATTTATATTATCAAAAAATGTCGTTCATTTGAACGTTCGGAACTTGTGGATCATAGTTGTATAATAAATATAAATATTTTGTGAATTAAATATCTTATTAAATTAAATTATTATTAAACTATTTAACTGAATATTAATTGTCAAGAAATTTATCAATCCTCCAAGACTTGGAGGATTGATAAATTTCTTGACAATTAATGTTATCTTTTACCGAGTGATAAATTCTACTACTTAATATTTAACTGAATGTTAAAATTAAAAATATTTAATTTAATATTTTGTTTACCTGTTTTTTGTTAATGTTAATATCATTAATATTGACGATTGTTGTTAAATATAATTGCTGTTGAAATATGCAATTAGTTTCATTTGCACAACGCTTAAAATATAAAAAATACTGGATATACTTACATATTTTTCCATTATTTTTATTATCATTTTGTTAAAATCAATGACTCTTTAAAATTAATTGTTATAAATGAAACGTGAAAAATGACCAAATTATAACCTATAAATTTGTTGCATTGCGTGGTGCATAAAAAACACCGGGTGCTATTACAAAATGTTGTTTAAACTTTGAACCTTTGAATGTTAACTTCAAGATGAATAAGCATTTTTAAATAATAAACACGAAAAATATTTAGAGAGTAATTATGATAATTATGATAATTATCATAATTATTAAACTTCAAAAAACGCACTTTAAAATTAAACATTCAGTTAAACATGCGCCATATTTGTTTACGTTTGAAATTCTCAGAAAATGATTTTCACTTATACAGTCGTGTATAAAGTTTTGCATATCTATAGGAGCGTTTATTCATTTTTAAGATTACAAGTAAAATACTATTTATCATTGTACAAAAGAAAAATAAGAAAATATACAATCGAATAACAAAGTACTAATAAAACCCTTTTTTAATAATTCAGTCAATAATAAAAATAATAATAAATAATAATGAAAAACGTGAAAAATTATAAAGAACATTTATTTTCATGAGCGTTGATAATGAATTTCATTGGTTATTTCAAATTTACGCGGGTATAAGTAGCCAATAAAGGCTTTAATTTTGTAAAAGCGCCTTAATGATCCCCCGCGCAAATGATCAAGCCGGTGAGAGAAACATAACCTTAAAATTGCCTAAATAGTAAACAGCGTAAACAGGTGTTTTCGACTTTTTGAGTTATATTTTTGATATTTATCGTTTGTATTTAATTTATTTTTAATAATTAAGAATCTTCATTATATTGTGCCTCGTATGGGACTCTAAACACTAGAAATAGTTCGATATTGACAAGAAAATTGTAAATAAAAACAATCAAAATATGAACGCATTGGAGGGAAAGGAATTGTACAATTGTTCACTTTCCTCATTAGTTACAAATCCATTTGTCACACAATGGTCTGAAGATAACCATTTATCAATTATTACAGAAAAAGGAATACACATTTTTGTAAGTATTGTTGCAAAATAACAATGTTATAACAATTGTTGACCATAACCTACAAATGTTTTGCTTTCTATCACAAAATCAGAGTACAATATTTTTATTATTTATATACTAGCAAAGTCCTACGCGCGCGATGCGCGCGTGAATGATTTAAAGAATTATGACGGTAGCAATCTACCTATCTGCTTTCCACAAAAAAAATTTAATAATTTCAATTTATATTCTTGCATGTTACCAATAGTTATGATTTTTTAAAAAATCTCGGTATTTCAACTATATATTATCATTTCCACGCCTCAGAAGCCATTTAAAAATTGCAAGAAGATCGAAGGCGGGGAAAGCAGTGATTTTTATTTTTTGTCACGGATTTTTCAGAAATCCTAAAATATAAAATAAATCAAAATCACTGCTTTCCCCGCCTTCGATCTTCTTGCAAAATTTTTTAATGACTTCTAACATTAAAATAAATAATTAGCAAACGAAAAAAATTGCTTCCAAGGGGTGGAAATTATAATTTAGTTTAAATACCGAGATTTTTAGAAAATCCTCGAAAAATCAAAATTACTACTTTTCTTGTCTTGGATCCTTTTGCGATTTTTTAATGGCTTCTGTTAAAATTTTTAGAAATTTTTTTTAGACTTATTCAAATTTTTGAAAAATCGTGTTATTATTTAAGTATAATTAAAATTCTTTAAAAATTTAAATATTTGTTTTTATATTTTTTAAAACTTCAATTATTTTTAAAAGAGTTTAACAAATTTCAATTGTTTGGCAAATTTTCAATTGTATATTATTGGAAAACTGTTACTTTTCAAAAATTATTTAAAAATTTTTTTTAATAAAATTAATTTGAAGTATTTCCTTGTTATAAATTTTTTAAAAATATTATACCTTAATAACTTTAAAAAAACATTGCAAGTTACAGTTACATTTAAAATAAGAAGTACTTAAATATTTATTTCGTAAAATTATTGAAGTTTCTGAATAATTGAATTTAAAAATCAGTGAAAGGTGAAGGAAATAAAAAATGTTATTTTTTTGACAACACTGAATTAAATGAATTACTTTTTCGACTTTTTTTGTATTTTTAATTGACTAAAGCGACTTTTTTTGCGCCTTAAAGTCGATCTGACAATAAGATTCTAATAAAAAATTCTTTAACTAAGTTCTGAAAAATAAATATTAAATGTACTGACTTAATTTTAAAATTTTTGAAAAATTAAGGTTTTTTAATTTTTCGTGTTGTTTTTATTGGACATTAAATTTTAATAACTTCAAGAATGTTTGAAAGTTGTTTTTTATATTTTATTGAACCGAATCATAGAAATAATAAAAATAAATATTCTTAAACTAGGACCACTTTTTTCTACTATCTTTATTTTGTTTTATGAAAAATTGTAAAATTTATTGTCCTTCTCAATATCTATAAAAAAATATAAAACAATATAGTAAAATAAATTTTTTTTTGTTAACCAAGTTGAAGTCCAAAACGTTGATCAATCAAAAAATTATTCATTAAGTAAATTAATCATAGATAACGCAGCAATATTGACGCACAAAAATATTTAGAAAAAAATTGATGTTTATGTTTTGATGATAATTGTAATTAAATAATTAAATTTAATTAAATATTAAATTATAAATGATATTTGAATGTATTAAATAAATTTTTTCGTTGATTAACGTTGTGGACTTCAACTTCTTTTTTCTTAGTAAGGAAGAACTTATAATATCTGACGGGCGAAATATTATACTTTTATTTAATTCGCCTGAGTGGGTGAAATAGATGCAGCCAAATTATTAATATTTACTTTCCATGTATAATGTAATTATTAATTTTATTTTTCACGCGATTTTTTATTTAATTTCTTTTTTTAGGAATTAGTACCATCGCCAATGACTTATGGATCGAGTGTAAAGTTTTCCCGTTCCTTCGTCTATCCATCAGATGTACTACCCACAGATGCATTTACATCACAATTAAATTTAATATTATGGCAATGGAAGAAGGAGGAAATTTATTCCTTCCTATTGGAAGAGACACTCGTTCCACGAATGAATGTCATGACTGATCTTGTACCAAAAGTTGTCTCTCTAAAATGGTCCTCCCAAGGAATGGTACATCCAAGTAAATGTCTCCTATCAATGATATCATCGGCCGGAGCAGTGGATATTCTCCTGAAAGATGATTGCGAATGGTTTTCAGCGTGTGATATACATTCACATTGGTTGAGAATTGTCAATGAAGAATTTCCCGATAAGAATTTCGGTAATCTAGGAAGTGAAGAATTTAAACGTCATATACGACGTTTGCAAGCTGTGGCAATTGTGTGGAGCAATTTGTACGAAAATTCATATTCTTATTTTGTTGTCGCTTACAGAAGTGGAGATTTACTTGTGTGGAAAATTCCAGCAGTCACTGATCATGGTCGTGAAGTTATTCCCACTGTTACACTTAGAACGAATTTAAATATGAAAATAAAAGTCGACATTGTGGAATGGATAAATATCGATCAGAATAATTGTCTAATTGTAATGGGTCTTTTCAATGGGAAAATTATTGCGTTAGCTGTCAGTGAATTACAGGGAAATGTGACATCGAAACAAATTGAAATTTATCCCGAAGAAGATCTCGTGAGAATTTCCAGTCTAAAGTGTATTTTACTGGAGGAAAACAAAATACGATTGGTTATTTGTAAAAGTACTTTTTTATTCGTCATGACTATTGATAATACGGGAGAAATACTCAATAGTATGCACTATCAATTTCCTGCCTTTTCTATAACAGGTACTATTTAAATAAATTTTCTATTATTTATTTTCCTAAAGTTCTAAATGTAGCTGAACTTCATAACGTTTATCACCAACAATCAATTGAAGGAAAAAAAATATTTTTTACTCAGAAAACAATAATAATTTACGTTTACAAATTTTTCTTTTCCGACTTTTTGATCAAGAAACATTGTAAAAATTTTATTACTAAAAGTTTGAATAGAAAAATATTTTTTCTTCTAAATCGTTGATTATAAACGTTGTAAACTTCAACAACGTAGTTCTGAACGTTCAAGTAAACAAAAAAGTTTTTTCTGTTTAAATGTTTCTAAAATTTACTACACAGAAAAGAAAAATAATAAAAATTAAACATTTACTTATTTTAGAATTAATTTGGTTAATGTACAAAATATTTATTTTTATAAAAAATAGTAGAAATTTTAAGAAATAATTTTTACTTTAGCTAATTGTTTATTTTAATGTTAGAAGTCCTTTAAAAAAATTGCAAAAGGATTCAAGGCGGGGAAAGCAGTGATTTTGATTTTTTTGTCACGGATTTACCAAAAATCCCAGAATTTCAACTAAATTAATGATTTCTCGCCTCAGGAGCAAGTTTTTTCTCTTGATAAATATTTATTTTAATATCAGAAATCATTTAAAAAAATCACAAGAGGGTCCAAGGCGAAAAAAGCAGTGATTTTTATTTTTTTAGTTGAAATTCCGGAATTTTTGGAAAATCTACGACAAAAACATTCAAAATCACTCCTTTCCCCGCCTTAGATCCTTTTGGAATTTTTCTAAATAGCTTTTGATATTAAAATTTATAATTATAATTATCAAGATAAAAAAAATTGCTTTCGAAGCGAGGAAACAATAATTTAGTTGAATTTCCAGGAATTTTGGTAAAATCCGTGAAAAAAAACGAAATCACTGTTTTTCCCGACTTGGATCGAGGAAAATTTTTGCAATTAAAAAAAAATTTTTTACATTAAAGTAAGCAATTATCTATTATTGTAAAAATTTTCGTCGAATAAACGTTTCTAACTTTAGTTTCATATTTTTTAGAATAAAATTATTATTAAAATTCTTCAACAAATTAACTTCTAAAAAAGTAAATTAAAATTTATGAAAAATCTTCTGATATAGACTTGTCTTATCATTAAAAATTCGTAATTAAATATAATGTATTTTCATAGTTGTTCTATTTAGAATTCTTTAAAAACTTAATTATTTTTTAATATTTTCTAAAAATTCTTTAACAAAATTCAATTATTTCCATAAATTTTGACAAATTGATCAAATTTGATTTATGTGAAAATTTTTCAATTGTATACAAGTGAAAAATCTAATACATATTTTTTAAAAATTATTTTTAAATATTCTTAAAAACCAGTTTTAAGAATGTTTTTTTTGCTAAGTTTAAAAAAAACAAGAAAAATTACATTTGCAAATAAATTGAAATTTGCAATTTTTGTATTAAAATAGTTGAAGTCTAGAAGAAATTTTGAAAATTAAATATTAACTAGCCAAATTATCCGCGCGCAAGCGCGCGGGAATGTTGTATTGCACTGTTTATTGTAAACAATTTCAAGTCATTTTAATTTAAGTAATTTTTAAAGAAATACTTATTATGACACATAACTGAAAAACTAATTAGAATTAAATTTTCAAATCATATTATATTTTTAAACTTCAAAGTACATAAAAAAACTTTAACAAATTTTGATACTAATTTCAAATTTTACATCAGATTTTTAAAATTGAAAATAATTAAACTTTCTTGTACGAGGTAAATTGAATTTCGCAAAAATTGATATTTGATACCTAAATTAAAAATAATCTTCAACTTTCTGAACAAAGAATATAAATTATATTTTTTTTAGAGAATTTGCACTATTTTAAATTCGCTAATTTTCAAAAAAATTTCGAAAAAATCAATAAATTATTTAACAAAATTTTATGCAATTTATTTTTCACAATAATTTAATTACTTTCACTAATAATAAAATTTTTCATGAAAAATCAATTTAAAAAAAAAAGTTTTGATTAAATTCTAAGCAAGAATTTAATTATTTTCATAAATAATAAAACTCATCGAAGAATTTCACTTATTTTCATTACTATTTTAAATTAATAATCGAAATCGAAATAATCTTAAAAACTTAATTTCAATTCCTCGACAAAAATAAATTATTTAAAAAAATGTTTTTTTTTTAAATTCTATGGAAGAATTGAATAATTATTTTCCAAAATTTAATAAAATTGTTCGAATGAAATTAATTGTTTTAAATACAATTTTAATTACATTTTTTTCAAATAATTCAATTTTTTAAAATTTTAATAACATTTTTTCTAAGAATTCAATTATTTACACAAATAATTTTTCGAAAGAATTCAATTATTAAAGATAAATAAAAAATTTACTCCCAAAAATTCAATTATTTTGAGGTATTTTAATAAAATTTTTTTCAAAATTCAATTATTTTTAAAAATAATAAATTGCTTCTTGAAAATTACATTATTTTAAAAAATTCTAGTAAATCGTTTGCAAGAATTCAATTATTTTCATAAATAATAAAATGTTTTTTAGGAATTTAATTATTATTTTCAACAAAATTTAATCAAATAAATTTGTCCTGAAAACATTGAAAATTTTTAAGGTCCTGAAAACATTCTAAGTTAAAAAAATTTAATAAAATTTCCCACAGACATTCAATTATTGACAAATTTTTTAATAGAATTCTTTGTAAAATTTAATTATCTTTAAAAACTTTTCGCAATTCAATGATTTTCAATATCTACTATTTTCATAAAATTTCCAAATAGAATTGAATTATTTAAAAAATGGTTTGTAAAAATTCAATTCTTTTCATGAATAATAAAAATTTTCATCAATTCAATTATTTAAATTATTAAATTAGAATTTGCATAAAATTATTCGAAAGAAATGAATTATTTAAAAAATTTTATAAAATTCTTCGCAAGAATTAAATTATTTTAAATTCTTTCATGAATAATAAAATTCGTAGCAGAAATTCAATTTATTAGCAGGATAAGAAAAAAGTAAATATTTTTTATGAAAATTAGGAAAAAGTCAGGAAAATAAAAAATATGTAATGGAAATGTTGTCAATTTTGTGAAGTGAATAAAACGAGTTTTTTTTCGTTTTTTTTTTGACATTAAAAAGAATAAAAATAACCCACAAAAATTAATATTCAAAACAAACAAATGAATGCAGATAATTTGCTAACGGAAAGGAAACTTACGATTATTATAATGTATTAAAAATTGATGTAGAGAAGAATTTTGGTAAAAATTCTAGAAATTAATTGAATATTGAAAGGGTTGAAGTAGAAAATTTTAAAAATAATTAAATTTCAAAAAATTTTACATTAAAATTATTAAAAATTTTAACTCACGTGAAATAATAATCATAACAATAAGTATTTAAATATTTATTTAAGAAATATTATTGAATTGAATTTATTTTATTTAATTTAATTTATCTAGAAATTTTGTCAAATTTCAATTTTATATTTTAAAGAATTTTTTTACTTTCAAGAATAATTTTTAAATGTAATCGTATTCTTAAAGAATTCTACCTAAAAAATTAGAAAATAATTGAATTTTACAAAAATTTAGGGTTGAAATTATTACCAAGATAAGGAAAAAAAATATTTTTTCTGGATATTAGAAAAATATATAATCCAATTATTGTGATTACTCTGAATAAAATGAATTATGTTTTTTTTGCTCATTGAATCAACTAAAAAGAGTTTTTTTAGTCGTCAAATTTAATTATTCGATAGCTATTTTTTTACTGCTTCTTTTCAGTCTTTAAGCTACTTTTTGCTACTATACTTTTTTTTATTAATGAACGAGTGCGAAGCCTGAACTGCTTTAATTTTAATTAACATTTAATATTTATACATGTTTCAGGTTTTTCAATGATAGATGAAAATCAATTTTTGATCTTCAGTCAGGATGGAAAATTATTCTTGGCAAAAATTGAAAACGAAAAAATAAATGGTGAATTGATAAAAACGGATTTACCAAAATTATATTCACAGTATTTGGGTCTCTCGCAATCGTACAATAAACTTTTGTTTGCTACTGTCACGAGTCCAAATACAATGTACGATCATCTTGTTGTTCGTGAACCAAGTATTTTTCACATATTCTGCATCGACAGTGAAAAATTTAATCCATTGACAATTTTAAATCAGAATACAAGCAAGACTCTCTTAAATCATTGGGATTGCTTTATGGTCATTGGATTTAAATTATCCAAGAACTTAATGTCTGTAAATACAATTGATAAGATTCCGATACATTTTGAATCACTTCCAGTCTATGAATTACGAGTTCTAATGTGGCTTTTAGTTTTGGCCGATGTTTACAAACGGAAAAAATCTCTATTTGATTTTTTAAATGTATCGGAGGAATTATTGGAAATTCGTTCATTAATAACGATCTACACGTCTTCGTCGTATTTAATGATGATTGGTACAAAACCATGTAAAAGTCATGAGCAAAGACTTTGTACAAGATTTTTGAGAACTTATTTAGAAATTTATATTGCCGGTGAAGACGATGAATTGGAGATGCCAGTTTGTCAGAGTGCCGATCGTGCATTAAAATTTACATACAAAGTGGAAGTATCAGGATCGGAAGTTTGTAATTTATGTAAAAATGTAATTGTCGATCTTCCATGGAAAACGGAGAAATGTCCCACTGGACATAAATTGCCGAGATGTGCTATAACATTTTTACAAATCACATCTGTACGATATCGTTCGTGTTCAATTTGTAAGCAAATATTTCATTCGTGCCTTGATGAGGAATATCCCGAGGGACCAAAATGTCTATTTTGTGATATACCAGTGTTACATGATTCACGGGTATTTGGTTCGGTGGATCGTGATAGGACGAATTTTTCAAAACGATTGTCTACACGACTTAAAAATGCTGAAGCAGATGAAGGTGGTGATGAAGATCCCGACGATATGTAAGGAAGATGTCGAATTGAAGTCACGGAGAAATTTTTGTATTTTGAGGACAATTTTTATCAGGCAAATATTTTTTTTATTTTAATATCGTATTTTTAGATGCTAATAATAAGATATTAAGAAAATATTATTGAATATTGTAAATATTTATTTAGTAAATTCTAATAATTATATAATAATAATCGAGATATTCTGTCCTCATGTAAAGTTAGAACTTTCTGATTCCAAATTGTTTTAGAGTTCAAATTGTCATGTCAAAAGTTTGACAATTAAAAATTTGCTAATATAGTGTCTAATGTTTTAGTGAAATTAATTCCCCTAGAATTTTTACAATAACAGGATTTTCACAAAACAATAAAGTAAGAAAATTTTATCCAAAGAATTAAAATAATATTAAATTATTGAAAATCTTAAATAGTCTATGAATTTTCTTTCTCATCTTAAAAATTCAAAAAAATTCAAAAGAAGAGTTACAGTTGCAATTTTTATAAGTAATCAAGTATTTTTGTATTTAATTTAAATAATTGAATTCTCGTAGAACTTATAAGAATTGATTTGAAGAAGAATTTCAGTTGAAATTTTAGAAAATAATTGAAAAATTGGAAGAATTGCAATTCTAATTTTTAAATAGGTTTTGATATTAAAATTTATAAATTATAATTAAAATTATCAAGATAAAAAAATTGCTTCCGAAGCAAGGAAACAATAATTTAGTTGAATTCCCGGGAATTTTGGAAAATCCATGAAAAAAGCCGAATCATTATAAAATAATTAAAGTCCAGAAGAATTTTTTGAAAATTATTAATATTAATTAAAAATTGATGTAAAGAAAAATTTTAGTAAAAATTCTAGAAATTAATTGATTATTGAAAAAGTTAAAAAAAATTTTTTAAATAATTAATATTCAAGAGATTTTTCATTAAAATTATTAAAAATTTTAATTCCCTTGAAATAATAATCATAACAATAAGTATTTGAATATTTACTTAAGAATATTATTAAAATTTTAATTTATTTATAAATTCTGAAAAAATACCTAAGTTTTTAAAATTTTGAAAAATTTCAATTTTATATTTTAAAGAAATTTTTTTTACTTTTAAGAATAATTTTTAAATGTAATCGCATTCTTATATAAAGAATTCTACCTAAAAAAATTTTAAAAGGTTTTACATTGGAAGTATTTTGAAATTTTAATTTCTGTTGGATAAATAAATAACAATAAGTATTCAAATATTTATTCAACAAAAATTAATAAGATTTGAAAAAATTAATTTAGTAATTCTGAAAAAATGAAGTTTGTTAAAACTCGTAATTAAAATTGTTTGAAAATAATTGAATTCCCGAAAATAATTTTAAAGAATTGCAAAAATAGAAAATTTTCTGAAATTCCATTAAAATAAATTTTATATTTCACAGAATTTTATTTTCTCACTTTAATAAATTATTTTTAAATTATTGTATTTTTTGAAGAATTGTAACTTAAAAATTTGCAGAATAACATTAAATTTTACAAAAATTATTGAAGTTTCGATTTAATGTAGAAATTCTAAAAAATTTAGATTTTTGAAAAATTGTAATTAAAATTTTTTTTGAAGATAATTGAATTCCCGTAAATAGTTTTAAAAATTGAAACAATTGAAAGTTTTGTAAAATTTCATTGAAATAAATTTTATATTTGAAAGAATTTGATTTTATTACTTTTAAAAATTATTTTGTACAATCGTATTTTTTAAGAATTATATTTTTAAAAAGTTTTTAAAATTTTTCATTTAAAAATTTTTATATTTTGAATAATTCTCTTTAAATTAAAGAACTTTAGTACTATTTTGTTCAAAATTAATAAATTTTTTTAAGGACGTTTCTTTAATTCATATTCAACTGTTTGTATATTAGTAAAAAAGTTCAATTTTTTGTCTGATATACTTCTAAATAAATAAATAAACAAATTCGGTTATTTAAAAATTAAAATAAACTTAACTTAAAATTTAATTATTTTTGACTAAATTTCAAGTACAATTATATTTATAATTAAAAGAAAAAACTGACGCATTCAATTATTTGATTTTGAAAATAATTGAAAACAATTCAATTATAAAAAATTGTTATATATTTCAAAGTATAATTGAATTTTGAAATGATTGTGTTGATATTTATGTATCTACTTTAGAGCATAATGTATTTTTTTCAAATATTCGATTATTGAACAAACATTAGAAACGTTGCCTAGAAACAAAAGCAACATGAAATGAAAATGAAATTCCATTTTGAATATTCAGTGTGACATTTGCAGACATTTGAAAGAATTTTTATTCTTTCTTTATTATTCTTTTTACGAAATGTTTTACTGAAAAGTTTCCATTAATTTTTCAATTAGAAAAAAAAAAAAAAATAAAATTGCGATTGAACAGAAAATTATGTCCGCGGAAGATATTACGAAATTAATTTCTAAACCCAAGGAAACTGTTTTAAAAAATGAAAGGTTTTTTAAAAAATTACTTTATCAATTCATCGAATGTAATTTAAATTAAATATTAGATTGATTATAAATGAATAATTATTTCCTTCTCAATAAATTTCCTTTTAAATAATTATTAATTTACTTCATTTGTTAAACATTTTAGTTTTATTATTTACAAGTCGTGGGTTTTATTTAAGAATTATTAACTTATTAGTTTATAAATATTATAAAGTAATATTATTAGTTATTATAAATAGATTATGAATAATTATTCATTTAGTTTATTTTTTAAATGGCTTTTCTTTTATTATTTCAAAGTTGCGATTTTTAATTCAGGAATTATTAATTTTGTTATTGTTTGTTTTATAAATAATTTATTCAAATTTGATTTTAATTATTTATTTTGTTTCCAGATATAAATCCAAACATGGGAAGAGAATTCGAACTGAAGTGGCAAGTGCTAAACACGCGCATCGAACATTTGGTCTACCAAGTGTACCATTAAATCCTCCCACGGAATTTTTGAAAAAAAAGAGTCGACCTTTGCCACAGAAACACGTGCCCCACGATCATTATCATCGTCCTGGATATCAGCACAAACTTCCATCATGGAAACCACTTAAATTCTCACGAAAACCCATCATTGATGATCTTCCCAAAGATTCAACACTTGTGGGGCGAATTAATTTTCGAAAAGAGAATATTTTAAAAGTAAAACAATCCGAACCACCCGAACCGGTGCCGAGAATTGTTGATTCACGATTTGGTGATGTTCAAGATTTGAGAACTTGTGGCTTAATGCCAATGTATATAAAAAAGAAGGTAAATTATTAAAAAAAACTATTTTCTTGAAAGAGAATAATTCGATTCTCAACTTTACTTTTGCTAAGAACAATTTCACTATATTTAGTTTTGCTAAGAATAATTTTTCCATTTCCACATTTTTCTATTTTATTCAAATTAAGTTTAGGATTAAGAATTTTTAATTTATTTTTTCTAGTATTTTGGCAAAAAACCACCAAAACCAAAGAAGGCACCAAAAGTGAAGCAAGTAAGAGAATTATTGAAACGAAAATCAGAATTTGAAAAAGGCAAGAACGTTGACTTTGGGAATGAGGGGAAAATTTCGGTCTTTAATAAAATTCCAGGTCGTTATGTCACCGAAGAGGAAAGAGCCGAATTACTACTTGTGAGTAACAGAAAATTAATTTTGAAAATTGAAGAATATGTAAATTTTACAAATAATTTTTTTATTGTTATTATTAACTAGAAATATTTATCTTCATGGTTGACTGAGGTCAGGAAAATCAGGGAAAAGTCAGGAAATTTTATCAAAAGTAATGAAAAATTATTAAATTCATAGATTTGACAAAAAAAATTCTAGTTTTTGGTGTCCAGCAAAATTTAAAAATATTAAAAGCATTTATTCTTCTTGAACTTTTTTGTTCACTTTACAAAGTTTAAAATCACCATAAATTTTAATACAAAACATTAAATTTTTTTCTATTTCTGATAATAATCGTTTTTTACAGAATATGAAATTAAATTTATTTTAAATAATTTAATTTTTGAAAAATTTTCATATTATTTAAAAATTATTTGTGAAATAATTTTACTTAACGATTCAAAAAAGAATTGACTTTCAGAAGACTTTTAGAAGAGTTTTTTTTTAGTTTTCAATTTCTATAAATAATTAAATTTTTAAACAGTTGCATTTTAAGTTTTTGTAAATAATTGAATTTCAAAAGGTTTTTAATTTTTAAATAAAATTAAAATTAAACATTTATTGTAAATCTTCATTTTTGTGATAAAACAAGAGTAATGATTAAATATTTACTTAAAAAAGTTATTTAATATTTTGAATAATTTATATCCCTAAAGTTCTGAACGCTCAAACGAATGAAATTTATTTAATTTACTCTTCAAATTAAAATTTGTTTACAATAATATTACATCACGTATTAAAAGTTAATTTATAAAATTTCAAAATGTTTTAATTAAGTTTTTTTTTACTTTTAATGCAATATGTAATTTTTGAAAATATTTATAAAGTTGAGAAAATATTTCGTTCATTTTAACTTGAATATTCAGAACTTTTGGAATAAAATATTTTGAAAATTTAAGATATTTACAAATAAATATATTAAAAACAATTGCTTGTGTATCGAGTCATTTTTAGAGTGAATCAGAACATTTTTTAGTGTCAAGAAAAAATTCGAAATTCTATCTAAAAATCAGGGAAAAGTTAGAGAAAACAAAAAATCAAATTTTCTTGGCAACCCTGATCTTCTTTTGACTAAAATAAAAAAAAATAGATTGTAGTTTTTTTTTTTAATATTATAAATTTCGCTTTTTGAATAATTTAGCTATTAAACTTGTGAAATAATTGCATTCAAATAAGAGAAAATGAATTGAATAGTGTAATTTAATTATAATGAATCCATAAATAGGGCATGAAAAAGAACTGGGAAGAATTGATGAATCAATTTCAACGTCTGCCGTTTTTAATTGACACACCACCAAAGGTGAAAAGAAAACTAAAATTAGAAAATAATTTAAAGCAACTAGAAAAGGATATTGAATTCATCGAACGACATCCATATATTTATGTGTGCGATGATGATGAGTGATTTCTACAACTGCATTTTTGAATAAGGTATGAGAATATAATACCTATAATATTACAGGACAAAAAATCCAATCCAAAAAATCCAAGAAAAAAGTCCAAACTACAAAAAATCCAAAATAAAAATATCCAAAGTCAAAAAATCCAAAATAAATCAAAACGTCCAAAATAAATAATGAAACATGTGAAAAAGCCACGTTTTTACTTTTTACGCTTTAAAATCAGAATTTAAAATGTTAATGTTAAAATTGCAGGTTTTTAATTATTTATACATAAATAATAAAATTCTTCACAAAAATTCAATTATTTTTATGAATAATTTTCATAAATAAAAGAAATCTTCACAAAAATTCAATTATTATTTTCGTAAATAAAAAAATTTCTAGAAAAATTTCAATTATTCTATAAAATTTTTAAAACAATTATTCCAAGAAATATATATATGTATTTAACAATTTTGATAAAATTCTTTACAAAAATTCAATATAATATAATTCCAATTTAATTGCTCGATTAATTTAATTATTTTCTTACATTTAAAATGTTAAGTCTATCTACTTTAATTCACAGTCATCGAAATGAGCAACTCAAAAAAAGGACAATTTCATTCAAGGCAAACCATTTAAATTTTTATATCTCAATTTTTTTATAGGATTTTTAATTTCTTTGGACTTTTTGACCAAGGCAACAAATTTTTTAACAGCTCTTGAATACATTTAAGGGGAGGGTTCACCGATATTTTTAACTTTATCAAGAAAATAATTTAAATATTCCACAAAATTAGTTTAAAAAGGAATTTATCGATCACTCCAAGTAAGGTTGAAAAAAGAATCAAAAAAATTTTATTTTTTATATTTACTTTGATTTTTTTCTCAATCTGACTCGGAGTGATCGATAAATTTCTTTTTAACCTATTAAATATTGCTGAGTGATCAATTCAATTAGCATATTATTCCTTAAAATTGTTTTTATATAGTAATTTTTTTAGAGGAATTCAATATTCATAAAATCATATCGATCAGAAAATATTTTGACCCTCTTTGAATTTTTATTTTTCCTAATAATTTGATAGATTTTGAAATCTCTTAGCAATTTTTAGGAAAAATGAAAATTCAAAAAGGGTTCAAATTAGGATAAAAAGAATTCTATGGGATATGGAATACTCCCATTAATAATGGATAAATTAAAAACTCCAAAAATTTTGTTAATATATGTATGAAACTGTATATATTTGCATACTTTTTCTTTCTTCTTTTTTACATGTAAAAAACTTTGCTTTCTCACATTCGTATAGAAAATGACAGAACATACATTAATTATCATAATCTCGATAATCGTCGGAAATGCAAGTTGGAATTGGTGGGCATGGCGCGCGAATACATTGTACTTGCTGCAATTGACATGTTTGACCTCGACGACATTGTGGACTGCATTGCAATGCACCATTTCCAGCTCCAATTTTTTCCAAATCAACAAGACATGATTCGCTTTCTAAAATTATTATTATTATTATTATTATTATTATTATTATTATTAATAATTAATAATAAATAATTAAATATTAAATATAATAATTATTTTATATTATTAAATATATTATTGAAATAATTAATGTTAAAATTGTTAGAAAGAAATATTTAAATTTTGTAGACAATTTAATAGTGGGTAAATGATAATGTTGTGTCACTGGAAATTTTCAAAAAAGAAGATAAAAAAATAATTGTCATCTTTAATTGAGTTGTAAAATTAATTTATTATTTTCTGTCATTTTTAATTACTTACTTTCAACGCATTTATTATTGTGGCAACATCCTGTGCAGCATTCTGTGCTTCTAATGCACTGCAAAGAAATATTCACATTATTATTAACATAATTAAATAATTACATAATTATATATTATCAATTATTATTTATTAAATATTTGACAATTATTTGATAATAATAATAATAATAATTTTTCAAATAAATAAATGCAAAAAGAAAAATAGTAATAATTGTTAATAATAAAAATTTTAATAATAATAAAATAATAATAAAAATGATGAATTTTTATTATTAGAATGTTATGTTGAAACAAAAGAAACTATTATTACTTTTCATATAATTAATTTTAATAGATTACAATTACTACCTAATAAAAATTAATTATTAATTACTAATTAATAACTTACATCTTTACTGGTTTTGATACAAATTGTTGATGCTGCTCTCGATGTAGTAACCAGAATTGATAAAACTAAACATAAAGTCAAAATCATACAAGACCTCATTCTGGAAAAAAAATTATTGAATTTATTAATTTTGTATTTTTATTATTTTTATTAATTTTTTATTTTTTTACATTAAATAATTTAGATGTTTATTTATTATTTGACTTTAGATTTTTTATCTCAATTTCATAATCTTATGATAAAAGTAAATTTTAGTAAAAAAAAATTGTTCAAAAAAGAAAAATGCAAAATAAAATAATTAAAAATGCGTATTAAAATTTAAATTTTATATCCGAGCGCATAAAAATGTGAACATTAAAAATTTTTCCCAAGAAATATAATTTTTTGTATAAAAACAGATTCATTTCATTATTAATATTAAAACTAGTTATTGGAAATATTAAAATAACTTAAAAATTAAAATTTACAAAATGTAGTAAATATTGTAAAGAAATTATTCACAAGTTTTGAACGTTGAAATTAACGAAATATTTTTCATTAAAATAATTTTCATTTATTATTAATTGTGATAAAAATTAAAAACTAAAGTTAAACATTTAGAAACTTTATAATTAATTTTTTTGAAATGTGACGTAAAATTATTGTAATTAAATTTTAATTTGAATAATAAATAAATAAATTTCGTCATTGAACGTTGAGAACTTTAGGAACTTTTTTGAAAAGACAAAAACAAATTTAGTATCGGTTTCTATTCACAAGTAATTTTTGAATATAAAATGCGAAATTAAATATTTAGAAGAAATAGAAATGATTTGTCAAAAAAAATATATACTTACGTGACGATTAATTGTTATAAACAATATTAAACTTGAACGCGAATGAACACAAACAGAAACAAGATATAAAGTTGTAAACACCTGAATGGAAACTGGCAGCCTTCAGTCTCGTTTCCCACATAATATGCGCAATATTCTTGTCTCTCGTCACACGGTTCACTTTCATTCGTAAATTACTATGGAACTTTATATCCGATTATGGATAAAAGCCTAACCATATTTAATTGAATAATTCTTAGAAAAAATAAAAATAGTTCAATTAATTTGAAGAAAAAAACAAACAAAAAATTCTACTTTTGGTTGATTTTGTATAAAAAGAAAAAATAAAAGGTGCAAAAATATTTAAAAAAAAGGGAAGATAGGAAATTTTTTCTGACGTAATAATTTACAAAAAATGGAATTAATTTTCTGTAATTTTTATTTATGTAGGTACCTAAGTAAAAAGTAGAATCAGTAGAAAATGAAGAGTGTCTTATTAATTTTTTTTGGAAAAATAAAATTCAACAAAGAGAAAGATTTGTAAATATTCTAATGTCGAACAAGGTCATTCGCGCATGATTTATTTACACTTTTTTATTTTTCAATTATATAATTTATATTTTTATTGTAAAATTGAAACGACTTGAATAGAAATAAAAAAAAGAATTCTCAAGTATCAAGAAAAAATGTGATCATTTTTTTTTAAAGAAAAATTTGAATAACTGAATATTAAATTAATTCTGAATTTCAACTGAAAAAATTTATTTGATTCAAGGAAATGATTACTTGTTTTCTGTCAAATAAATATTTACTAGAATCAAGTAATTTTTATTTAAATCAAATAAATTTTATTTGAACCAATAATTTCAGTATTTGAATCTTACACCATTTAATTGATTCAAATAATTGCTTATTTGATACAAATAAATATTTGTTTAATGCAAATAAATATTTATTTAATAATAGTCAAGTAATCGTTCATTTGAATCAAATAATTTTTTTTCCTGTGTAAATGTAAAACTAAATTTTAAATTAAAATAAAAATAAAATATTAAATATGAAATTAAATGAAGTTTAAAAACTTAATATTACATTTTGTACGAAAGAGCATTTTAATTTATTTGTACCTCGTTAAAGATTAATTGTAAATAAATATATAAAAATCTTATTAAAAAATATGAAATTAAAGAATTTGTGAAAAATTTAATTATTAAATTTAGACTTTTGTCATGATAAATCGTAAGATAAAAAAAATGAATAAAAAATTTTAAATAAATAAAGAATTATTTTCCCCAAAAAGAAAGAGAAAATAAAATGGTACGTGCTACGTGTCAATTTTAATGAATACATAAACTTCATTTGGAATCTATTCAATTTGCACTTTTTCAAGAATTCTTTTGTACTTAGAAAATAACGTATATTGTGACCGTGATGACTTCCGGATTTTAAAACAATGAAAAAAGAACCATCCATCATCAAGTGTAGATGAAAGAAAAATTAATTATTAGCTAAAAATACACTTTTAAAAAGTATCTAAAATTATATCTGAGTGAAAAATTTCTTTTCTCTTTTTGTTCATAAAACAGAAGTTGATAAAAAATATAATTAAAATTTATTATTTTTTCATACAAAATTAATTGTTTATTGAACTTTTTTTTTGTCTTTTATAAACTACGAGTTTAGGAAGTTAGAAAATAAAAATTAATTTATTTTCCTAAAAAGTAATTTTATATTTATGCAAAAAAAAATTTTGTTTTGTTTCTATATTTATAAAATATAAGCTTACAAAAAATAGTTTAAAAAATTATTATTTTTGCAAAACTAACTGTAGGTACATTGTGGAAAACTTTTCTTATAAATCATGAGTTTAGAAAATTAATAAAATGAAAATGTATTATTTAGTTTTAAAAAACATTAAATTTACTTTAGTGCAAAAAATTTTTTTTGTTTATTTACAAAATATGAGTTTAGAAAAGTAATAAAATTAAAATTTATTTGTCCAAAAATTAATTTAACTTTAAAAAAAAAAATATTTAATTTTGTTGACGCATTGATAAATAAATGTCAACAAATAATTACAATGAAATAAATCTCGTCTATAAATAAGTAAAAAAATAAATTTATAAAATATTAGCTTACAAAGTAATAAAATCAAAATTTATTATTACTTTTTCCAAAAAATAATTTTATATTTATGCAAAACAAAATTTAATTTTGCTTACATTTATAAAGAAATAGAAAATAAATAAATAAATTTATAAAATATTAACTTACAAAGTTATAAAATCAAAATTTATTATTTATTTTTGGAAAAATTAATTTTACGTTTGTGCAAAATAATTTTTTTTTGTTATTTAAAAAATGTGAGCTTACAAAATAAAAAATTATAATTTATTATTTATTTTTCCAAAAGTAATGCGAAAAATTTTAGAAAATCATGAACTAAAAATTTTATTTTTCTATTTTTCAAAAAATTAATTTTACTAAGAAACTAGGATTTCAATATTCACGGTTTCATTTTTCTGTTGCAAAAATAAAAAGAAAAAATTGTAAACAGAATTTGTAATTGATTTTGAAATATGAAATATTATGTGCGTAATGAAATAAGATTAGAAGCAAAATTTAATATTCAGCACAAAGATCAAGGAACGCATTATGAAGACGTGTATATTATGAATTGAGCGAGTTAAGCACAATATTGTGGTAAAAAAATGCTGCACTTGTTGCTTTTCCTAAAGAGATTATCATGTTATGGAGAAATATTTCTTGTATGATAAAACACGGAGAAACATTTTCTTTAAAATACCGATATAGCATAAAGACATTCTCTATACACTACACGCAATAATATAAACTTATTGATTTATGTTTTCAGTGATTCATAAAAAAAATGTTGAACTTATTTTTATTTTATTATTAATAATTATAACTAAGAAGCAATTAATATTATTAATAATTCATGCATCTACTTTCTTTGAATTAGTCACTTTACTAATAAATTAGTAGAAATTACTATTTATTAGTAAAATTTTCTAATTCAAAAGTAAAAAGTCAGTCACTAATTTAAATTAGTAAACATTTTTATACTAATTCAAATTAAAAGAGAGTATATTTATAATTATTTATTTATTTATTTACAAACGGGCTTATAGATAATAAATTCTTCAGATCAGCCAATTTTTATTGTTGGGAATTCAATTCTAGAATATTTAATAATTAATGATTTAATAATAATTTTAATTATTAAGTAGGATAATTATAAATTTTTGTCTCAATGAAACTGTCATTTACTACTCTGTATGACTCGAAAAAATTCCAGTACACTGTAAAAAGAAAAGTACTAATTTAGTACCAATTTTGGTACTGAATCGTAATTTTGTTCTATTTTAATACTGAAATCAGCTCTAATTTAGAACCTTTTTTTACAGTGTATACCTAATCTATGAAATATTTTGCGGACTGACTATAATTTACATTTTCTACTATGACAAAAAAAAACAACTTTTAACATATTTAAATAAAATTAGAATCAGTAAAAAATCATGCCTGACTAAAATGCTCTTTACTACTGCCAATAAGATTTTTAAAAAATGATATAAATTTTGTCTGACTGTAACTAATGGTTTTTACTAATGCGTCTGACAAAGAATTACATCTACTACTGTTAGTATGTATTACTAATTTAAAAAAAAAATTAACCGACAAATTTTCTTCTACTCCTACTAATAAAAAACAATGGGTTTTATTTATAAATAAATTAGACAATTTAGAATTGTCTGACTGATTGACGGATTGTCTGATTCCGCCATTATTTTAGGAATCTTTGTCTGATTTTAGTTGGCATTTTCTAATTTCTACTGAATTAATAAAGATCAGTTTTTTCACTTATAAATAAAAATTTATAAATTAAATATCTATCTATTTAATAATCGTTGTATTCCGGTAATCTGTTTGCAGTTTCAATTAAGTTGCTGTTTACTTTTTTGTTTTCTAACATTTTAAATAATTTTCCTTTTTGAATGTTTTCAATATTAAAATTAATGTACTGAAAATAATTGAATTCTTGCAAAGTATTTATCAAAAAACTTGAAAATAATTTAATTCATTATTTCATTTCGAGAATTTTATCAACATTTTTTTCAATAATTAAATTCTTTCGAGAAAATGTAATTAAAATAATTGTATTGAAAATAATTTAATTATTCTTGGCAAGATTTTCATTAAAATTCTTTAAAATAATTGAATTGTTTTGAAGAATTTATTTCAATTTTCTTAAAAATAATGGATCAATCGATTAATGGAATAATCGTGTTTATTATTATAATTGTAATTAATAATTTTTCTAATAAATTATATTAAAATTGTTCATGTAAAATTAAATTCTTTTAAACAAATTCATGAGAGTTTTTGTTAATAATTACATTTTTTTTGAAGAATTTTATTAAATTTCGTTATAAAATAATGTAATTTTTTAAACTAATTTTAATTGAAAATTTTGAAAATAATTGAAATTTAGGTATACAATACAAAGAATTTTATTAAAAACTTTTGAGAACGATTTAATTATTTAGAAAAATTTTATTACAATTTATAAAAATAATTGAATTGTTTCGAAGAATTTTTTATTATCAGAATTGTTGAAATAATTGAATTTTTTTTAAAACTCTTGAAAATAATTGCATTTAAATAATATTTTAAAATATTTTACGTTTATTTTTTATGCGTTTATTTGCTAGTATTAAATAAATTATATAATAAGTGTAAATGAATGAAAATAAATAAAAATATGTCTGACTGAAAATATAATTTAATGCTGACAATAAAATTTATTCAAATTTCGAAAACTTTGACGGCAATTTTTGTTTTCATTTGATATATAAAGTAAAGGAGGATTAGAAATAATTTTTGCCTGCCTGAAATTAATTTTACCTATACCTATAAAAAGTGGACAAATTAAAAAGAAGTGTCTGATATAAAACGAACGAGAAGTAGAAGAGCGTTGTTTGACTGAAATTCACTTTACCTACTGAAGTCGTACGGAAAATATTTTTGGATATAATTATAAGTTTGTCTTCTCATAATGGTCATATTTTACTACAAATTTTACTAAAAACAAATAATAAATTAAATCAGAAAATATATATTTTGATCACTACACATGCCCTTTACTAATACTGAC